GCGGACGCCATTGAACTCCTCGTCCCGCGAGCCACAGGCGCGCTTGGCCGCAGGCTCCCCGCTCCGCTCCCCGACCTCGCCGCTCCGCTTCCCGGCCATGCCCGACTCGGCCCCACCCCGGAACCGCCGCCGCTCCCGCAGGAAGGGGCGGGTGGAGGGGGACCAGCTCGGGGCCGTCCTGCTCCCGGCATGTGGGGTACTGCTGCGGTCCCCGGCCCGGCCCAGCGGGAGGGTTTTCCCCGGGAGCAGTGCCCAGGTGGGCAAAAAGAGTTAAAAGTAGTTACCATGGACCGGTTTGGAAGGGACCGTAACGTTCCATCATCCATTCCCACCCCCTGCCATGGGCAGGGACACCTTCCACTGTCCCAGGTTGCTGCAAGCCCCGCCCAGCCTGGCCTTGGACATTTCCAGGGATCCAAGAGCAGCCACAGCTGTTCTGAGCGCCCTGTGCCAGGGCCTGCCCACTCTCACAGCGAGGAATTCCTTCCCAACATCCCATCTGCAGCAGTTTCTTATCCATCGCTGCTTGCAAGGTCAAGCAGGTTTTTGTCATCCCAGTTTCCTAGGACTGCAGCCCGCTGTGATCCTAAACCAACACGGCTTAAACCTCGGAGTAGAAGGGGAAAGCACATAATGCCGGGAAGCAGGGAGAGGAGACAACTTCTCAGGTACTCCTCTCTTTCCGGGAAAGGGAAAGGCTTCGGGGTGACCGGACTGTGGCTTTCCAGTACCTGAACGGGCCCATGGGAAAGACAGAGAGGGACTATTTACAAGGGAAGGAGTAATAGAACAAGGGGGAATGGCTTCCCACTGCCAGAGGGCAGGCTTAGATTAATTAAAATCTAAACTCTTGCCTTGCTTTCAGCAAGAGTTATTCCAGGACAAGCATAGTGATAAGGAAGAATGGAAAAAGCCTTGTTCTAATAAACGTGTACATATAGAATGACAAGAGTTGAAGCAGTAGTGGAAGATAAGGAGATTATTTCAGTAAGAAAAAAATGAAGGTAAAAGATCTATCCAAATCCAAACCGAATTTTTTTTCATATGTGCAAGTAATAAAGGAAACACTAGTATCTGCATGGGCTTTTTCAGACTCGGTTTGTTGGATTTTTTTAGCAAAATACTGTAAAAAAAAAAAAAAAAAGTGATCCAGAAGAAGGCAACATTCACAGCCATTCTAAGACTTAGGATGCTTAGGAACAAATGCTTTCATATAGACGGAAGATGCTGTGATGTTTTGAGAACAGAAGGTAGAACAAAATAAAAGAAGGTGAAGTTAGAAGACAGAAAAGGATAAAATGAGTACATGAGACTGGGGAAAAAAATGAAATGGGAAAATATTAATTGCTAGACACTAGGTACAAGAGCTTTTTACAAGTAGTTTATAAGAACAAAGCTAAAAACATCTGCTAGTGATATCATGCTCCAAGCTCTGCTAATAATTCCTATTTCTAGGAATACTTAAACTTAACTCACTACATTCCAACTATTTTTCTGCTCGTTTAGATGGCAGTGCCATTTGGAACTCACCTCAGTACAGCAAATTCTATGCAAAGATACAGAGTTTTCAGTTCTTCCATAAAACATTTTTGGTGGTTCTTCTGGATGATGGGAATCCTTTGTTTCAGCCTTACAGTTTTCTTGAAACTTAAATTTATGCAGGTATCCAAATACATTTGCAATTCCAGAAATTGATAGGCACATAATATGAAAAGTAAATAACATTCTCAAGAGGAACTTGCTTTGCTATTGAAGGGATTAAAAGGAAGGCTAGAGCTAGTAGAACTAGGAAAAATATTTGATTTAACACAGTTTTAAAAGGCTCAAAGTACCTTTACTGAGATCTTCAAGGTAAAAGTCCTTGTTACCAGACTTACAAGCCTGATAGCTATCAGCACACCATATTTCATAGATCTAGTATTTTAAAAAGTACTGCAGAATGCCACCGAAAATTGTTTTTATTTCAACTTGAAATTCAGTTATTTTCTCCCTCACTGCCTGTGTAGCAGTTAGAGGCTTCAAGGAGGCTGGGGAAGAAGACTGCTGGTTTCATTTCCAGCCAGGTCACTTCCATGTTGTGCTGGAATGCACTTTGAAGCCCGTGTCCTTTTCTTTCTCTATTATATCTCTATTATATTCTTTCTCTATTATATCTATATACTATTAGATATATATCTCTTATATATTATATATATATATCTATTATATCTATATAATATATATATTATAACTTTCCTCCCCCAAGTCTGTTTTTTGGCAAGCAGCATTTATGGAGGGCCAGTCCATAAATGTCTCAGGCTCAGACAAAATTCATCTGCTCTGTTGTGCTTAGGTGTCCAACAGATGGGAGCAGCAAATGAGTCAGGTAGCTTCTGGGCTGCCCAGTTTTTCAGTAAATCAAAATATTCTTCTGTGATTCTTGTCAGATGTACATATCATCATGTCCAAGTTACACACTGCCCCTCTTGCATTTTCAAGTCTGAAAAACAATTCCTGGTCCCTTGCATGAAGCTCAGCTCTTCGCCTTGTTCAAGGAACAGGTCTAGATACAAGACTAATTGAGCCAAGTGACTCTTTCCTGCCTCAGTTACGACCTCTGAAGCCTTTACTGCCCTAAACAGTGTGTAAACAGCCAAGCCCCAGCCCTGCAGTCCTGCCTAACTTGCCTTTACCTCCCAATCCTGAACCTTTTCTTGTGCTGTGGGATCCTCACTCATGCAATCCTGAAGACAAAAATCTGGTTTGACAGATGAGGCCATTTCTAATGCAAAAGCTTCACCAAGGTTCCTCTCCTGTCCTTCTCAGCCATCCCCTATCTCCAGCCTTTAGCTGTAGATACTTGCTGTTCTATAGCTAATACTTGCCATCCCTCAAGATTAAGTCTCTTGATATGCATTTGCACCACTCCCTAACCAGGTCCTCGCGATTTTTCCCGAACTCAGCCTGATCTCCAGGCCTTCAACCTCTCCCTACAGATGAGGGTCTGTCTCTGAGTAGGACTGCTAACAGACCTGTGCATGTGCCCAAGTATATAGCCCATGCTAATCCCAGCCCAAACCTGTCCTTTAAACCCACTGGTGTTTGGGTACTGGAGCCCCAGTTACAGTAATCCCTGTGGTGGTTTCACTTCAAGGCTGCCTGTGAGTTGTGATCCCCTATCCTACACTACTTTAGTAAGAAATGCATTTGTTTCTTAAAATAAATTTTCCTTTTATGTAGAAATTAACTATAGAAAGCATTCAGAGGGAATGGATTGAATCCAAAATTATGTCTTTAAAACTGTAGTTTTCAATGTTTGCTCTAAGTTTACTCAGTTATTCTACAGAAAAGTTTCCTTCATTTTTTTGCAAAATTTCAAGTGTGACATAGAGCTCTTTGTCAAATCTTCCTGCTTTCCAGCCTTTGACACCCTGAGTCATGGGATAATGGAGAGAGGATGGATGCTGCCGAGACATGGGCTATCAGGACCAGTTCCTCAGCACAGCCTTTTGAGAAGGGAACATTCCCAACACTCTCACCTCTGTCCTCACGTGTCTGAATGCCCTGTACCCCATACTCCCATAATCCTTGCTCGGATCAGCCCAGTGCTAACTCATACACTTGGAGACACAGTCATTTCAGAGTTTGAATTCCAGAAGTTTGGCATTGAGGAGTCCAGGTGATGTGCAAGGTCAGTGTATGGACCCAGGAGAAGAGTGGGCTAGCAAGGCTAAAGTAAAACCACAACTTTATAAAACCACAACATAACTTAGATGCTGTAAAACAAAATCACCTCTCCTCCTCTTCACCCTCCTCCTCCAATCCCACAGTTATTCCAGCTGGAGTGCAAGGAATGCATTTTAAGAGTGACTGATGGCAATTTACCTTTCTCCCATGAGAATATTAGAGCCTGTCGATATGGAAGGATCTGCCGACAAGGCATTATGAGCATCAGGGGTTTGAGTCAGAGCATGGTGTGAATCTGGAACTGGACTGTATGCTCAGGTGCTGAAGATGGGTGGAAAGATCAGAAAAGAAGGGAAGAGGACAGAAAAGTGGGGAGGTCAATGAGCAGGCCGTGAAGAGCTAGAGGAGGCATATGCTGAAAGCACCTCTGAATATCTTCTGCGATACTCAGGATATCTTCTGTGTATTGAAATCCTTCCCATGTTCTACACATGGAATAATCTTCAAGCATCATCCAGTCTGAGTTAGTTTGACACAGTCACTGAGTCACAGAATTTACCAGGGAACCCTTACAGTCCTGATGGGAAAAGCAGGCACTTACAAACACTGCAATATTATTTTCAAATGTTGTTATTTGCTTCTAATTTCACAGTGCTCAGGTCAAATTAGTCTAACGTCTGGATCTTCAAACTATTAAGTCTCACTGATTTCACAGATATTGATATGGGCTACTCTTCTCTGAAACACTGCTGGTTTTCCATGCCTTTGCATACCTAACTTGAGAGATGTTGAAGCCTGATTTTTTTCAAGGCTCTTGGAAAAGCCACAGTTTTTTCTGTTTTGACATTGACTGTGTGGCTTTAAAAAGCTTCAGTCTTGAATTTCAAATACATAATCATTAGTCATTTTGGAAAATCTTAGCTCAAATACTCATTAAAGGGGAACAGTGACAACAACCCATCAAAAGCAGGCTCATAAAACTGTAATAAAGCATTTTCACAAGGAGGTTGATTTCCAAGACCGTGGTCCACTCAGCAACTCTGTCCTAACGTCCTTCCTAAACTGAGGCAAGACACATGGTGTCTCTCCCAGTATGTCTTTGAAGCATCATGTCAGGAAGTGACCAGGGACAACTTGGGTGCTTTAAGAGGGCAATAACAACAAAGCCAGGACCTTTTCCTTGGTGTATTTGTTCTGCCTCCACCTTAGGTCATGTTTTCTCTTGTTTCCAGCAGTAAGCTCTGTAAGATGGGACATGCCTCTTACTTCATGTCTATACAAGTGCCAGGTTCACTGCTAGGAAAAAAATAATCTGTGTACAGGAGTAGTGCCAGCAAGACTGGCAGCATTTGGGAGGGTGAGGAGTTGGGGACTTTCTGCTGCATCTGGGGAGGAAATGGAGTGAAGATTCATTCCAAATGAAATGTGAGGAG